CCCTTGTAGTTTGGTTAAATTTATATTTATTTATTCCAATTGATTTTATTTTGCCTTGTTCTTCATCTTATAATTCTTCTAGAACCGATCAATCTATTAAGATTGCGAGAGTTAGGGTTTTCAATAGGGATATTGAGATTCTAATTCCTGAAAAAAAATGTAAGATAACTGTTCATGTATGCACTAGGGATAGGCTACATGAACCGCAAACGCTAAAGAGTCACTGATTGTAAGGCTTAACTTGAAAAGAGATTTCTAAGGGATTAGGATTCTAATAGAGTTAATAAGGTTAAAGTCATTAAGGAATTAGGGCTGAACCAATTAAATAACAGATAGTAGATCGTTTGATCAATTGAATAATTAAATGTAAACATTAATTCAAGTTACAAGGTGGGGATCATAGAGGTGTTTGTTTCTCTTTACCGCGATATTTTCTCAATCATTAATATTATGTTCTTGAGTTTAAAAAGAATCTTGAAAACTGTCTTTACTTCCTTAATTTGTTCTTGTTTTTCACAAACAACAATTGTTCTCTAGACCGATTTTATTAATCTGACAAGAAATGAATAGTTATAATAAATTTGGTGCCTCAATCTTCGTAGAGACGATACTCTACTTATCACTTATTACTTGGAACGATCGGTACACTTGTCGTCTTCCCGAGTTCGCAACACTTATATCATCCATTAGCTAGGAAGTTAGTTTTGATTTCTTTTTATAAATAAATAAACATCTGTAAAATAATTTAATTAGTGGGCTATTTTACATTTTTTTTTTTGGTAAGCTGGCTATTTTACATTCTTTAAATAGGTCAGGTATATCCCAAATAGGCACAAGAGATGTGTTTAATAAATGCATGTTTGGGAGGTCAGTTTTTTAAGCTTATCTTTCCTTATAAGCATAAGTTAAGTCAAATATGTTTTTATAAAAATTCTTATAATAAAAAAATCTTTTTGTTATAATAAAAGAATATTCAAAAGTCAAAAGCTCAAATGAGGATATTTTTTTAAGTTGTATAAGCGTTTTTTGAAATGAATAGCTTTTAAGTAACTTTTAAGTTAAAATTTTTATATAATCGTTAAAAAGCTTTTAACTTTATTTTTTAAAGCGCTTTTTTTTATCTTGATCTTAAAAGTAATTTTTTACTTAAAAAATTTAAAATTTGACAAACATGCTCTAAGTGAACAATGGGTCTAACAACTGGAAGGTGAGGCGTGAAGGCCATGTGAAATTCATTTAGAGTGCAGATATGAATCATAACCTCTTGAAATTCGTTGAGTGGAAATACAAATCAACATTTTAAGTAATTGGAATATGAAATCATATATGTACTCACAAACTTTTAAAACTTCGGCGGAGTTTACCATAAATATTAGGGAACACTGACCATTTTGTCACTGTTGGCCAAAAACATTACCAGACTGCCACGCCAACAGTAAATTTTGCCAAAATGCCACGTGTCATATTTCGCTACACTGTGTAGCGAAATATGTGTGCAAATAATTCGCTACACAGTGTAGCGAAATATGCCACGTCAGAACAAAAAATGCCACGTGTCAAAGTTATAGAAATTCGCTACCCTATGTAGCGAATTTCTTTAATTTGACACATTCGCTACCCTATGTAGCGAATTTCTTCAATTTGACACATGACATTTTTGGTTCTGAGCAATCTGACGTGGCATATTTCGCTACACTGTGTAGCGAAATACGTGTGCACACATATTTCGCTACACAGTGTAGCGAAATATGCCACGTGACATTTTGGCAAAATTTACTGTTGGCGTGACATTCTGGTAATTTTTTTGGCCAACAATGGCACTTTGGTCACTGTTCCAAATCTTAGACCCAGATGGTGTTGTAATGCAACCAACTTTGCCGATGATTTAAGCCATTAGAAAAAGCATACAATTGATTTTATTATGAGAAAATATACTCTTATGTTATAGGAGAATGTTTTTCTCTTCTACACGTACATCGATTTTTGTGTTACTTTTTTATTTTATTTTTCTTTTTTTATAAATGGATGGATCTCACACATGATTATCTCTATAACATGAGAAAGCTTCTCTCCTATTGCATAAGATTAATAAAACTCTTTTATTATATTCTTTTATTATATTCTGTTAACATGTGAGTAAATGTTTTTTTCAACAAACTAGTAGTTTGAACTCATCAGCTGAATCATTTCTGCGTGTATAACGAAAATTGCATGCATGATGCATTACTTGTGCAGCTACTCATTACTAAAGTTACCAAAAGCTGAATATTACCAAAAACAATATTGTACTGTTTGGGAATTATACTGGACCAGTTCCAGAGTACTAAGGATGTCATCTCCTTTAGTACTATGGAATTATACTGTTTGGGAATTATAGTGTTCTGGTTAGGTTTGCGTTTCTAGTATTAGAAGTGACATCTCTCCTAATCCTAAGACTTGGGTCTGACGAGGGAGTCAACATAGTAGATAACCAAGCAAGTGAAAGTAGATGACTAAAAGGATGTTCATCAGCTGATGGCATGACTAGTTTGAACACAGAAGGATTGGAACAAAAGGTGTTGAATACCAAGAATAAAGAGATTTATAAATAATCTGTGTGTCTCAACTATACAGCGGAGAGTCTATTATATAACTTAAAAGAAAGAAAATACAAAGAGATATACATGATGTGAGACTTCTATACTACTATTCTAAACTATCATTTATAACACTTCCCCTCAAGCTGGAGCATATAGATCATATGCACCAAGCTTGTTACATAAGTGATCTATCCTAGGCCCTCTCAAAGACTTAGTGAAAATATCAGCTAATTGATCAGTTGAGTTAACAAAACTAGTAACTATATCTCCAGAGAGGACTTTTTCCCTAATAAAATGACAGTCTATCTCAATGTGCTTGGTCCTTCATGAAACACTAGATTGGAAGCAATATGTAAAGCAACTTGATTATCGCATATGAGAGATGCAGTGCCAATGTCTCCAAATTTGAGTTCCTTCAATATTTGTTTTAACCAGATAAGTTCACAGGTGGTTGTGGCCATGGAATGATATTCTGCTTCAGTACTTGATCTGGCAACTACACTTTGTTTCTTGCTTTTCCAAGAAACCAAGTTACCTCCAAGGAATATACAATACCCAGATGTGGATCTTCTATCACTGGGGGAACCTGCCCAATCAGCATCTGAGTATCCCTCAACTCTGGTATGACCTTTGTTTTTATAGAGGAGACATTTACCTAGAGCATTCTCGATGTACTTGAGGATGCAGATCACTGCATTCCAATGATCTTCACAAGGAGAATTCAAGAACTGACTTACTACACTGACTGCAAATGAGATGTCTGGTCGAGTAACTGTAAGATAGTTCAGCTTCCCAACCAATCTTCTATACCTTTATGGATCTGAAAATAGCTCCCCCTGATTTGGCATAAGCTTGACATTTTGATCCATGGGGGTATTGACGGGCTTAGCATTCAACAAAGTTGTCTCCTTTAGAATATCCATAGCATATTTCCTCTGCGATATCACAGTACCATCCTTGGATTGAGCCACTTTAATTCCCAAGAAATATTGTAGTCTTCCGAGATCCTTTGTCTGAAAATGATGACTGAGATGTTGTTTTAACTGAGTAATGCCTTGATGGTCATCACCTACAATGTCATCAACATATACCACCAAATAAATGGATCCAGAGTCTGAGTGGCAATAAAAGATTTGCGGAGTCGACAAACTAGACTGGACTCCCCCTGAGCAACAAATCCAGGAGGTTGCTTCATATAAACTTCTTCAGCAAGATCACCATTAAGGAAAGCATTTTTGACATCCAATTGATAAAGGGGGCCAGTGACGGATAGCCATAGTAATAAAGAGGCGAACAGACGCCATTTTTGCAACAGGGAAAAATGTATCCCCATAATCTTCACCGAACACCTGAGTGTATCCCTTAGCCACCAAACGTGCTTTGAGACGATCCACGTGTCCATCAGGACCAACCTAGACAGTAAATACCCATCTACATCCAACAACAGATTTTTCAGAGGGAAGAGGAACCAGATCCCAAGTACCACTGCCATGAAGTGCACACATTTCGTCAATCATAGCCTGTCGCCATCCGGGATGGGATAATGCCTCACCTGTAGTCTTAGGAACAGATACAAAAGACAAAGAAGAAAGACAAGCAAAATGTGATGGAGAAAGGCGATGATAACTCATATTTATTGAATACTTGGGTGGAGGACGAATATTACGAGTACCTTTTCGGAGAGCAATGGTAGGTCAATGTCGGAGGGAGGGATCGAAGCCGCATGAGTTTATGACGGCAGATCTGAGTCCATAGGAACCTCATCAATGTCTTGGGGTATGGATGGATGTGACCGATGGTGATAAACTTGGAGAGGAGGATCTGGTGCTGGGACATATGGAGAAGTGACAGTAGGCGGTGGTGGTTTTGAATCTGGTGCCGGAACATATTGAATTGGAACAGACGGTAAAGGTAACTGAGTATCAACAGAGTCATCAGGAACGGAGGTGGAGCCAAAAAATGGCACAGACTCAAAGAAAGTAACATCCGCCGAGACAAAAGAGCGGCGGAGACTCGGAGAGTAACACCAATAACCTTTTTGTGTCCGAGTGTAACCGAGAAACACACATTTGTGGGATTTGGCAGAAAACTTGTCACGATTGGAACCGAGTTCATGGACAAAACAAGCAGAATCAAAAATACGAAGGGGTAAGGAATGTAAAGGCTGATGGGGAAACAAGATAGAGTACGGTACCTGGTTACCAAGGACAGAGGAAGGCATGCGATTAATAAGATAGCATGCGGTGAGAACAGCATCACCCCAAAAACTGGTAGAAACATTCCCATGAATTAAGTGTGTCTGAGCTGTTTCAATAAGATGACGATTTTTTCTTTCAGCAACCCCGTTTTGTTGGGGGGTGTGAGCACATGATTTGTGGTGAAGAATGCCGTGAGAGGCCATGAATGATTGAAATGGTTGAGTCAGATACTCACGAGCATTATCACTACGAAAAGTGCAGATAGGAATACCAAATTGAGTAAGAATTTCATGATAAAACTTCTGAAATATGGAGAACAACTCAGAGTGGTTTTTCAGTAAAAATAACCAAGTGTTTCGAGAATAATCGTCAATAAAGGTAACAAAATATCTATAACCTTGAGTTGATTCGGTACGACTGGGTCTCCAAATATCAGAGTGAACCAAACTAAAAGGAGAGGAGGCACGACGATTGACTCTACCAGGAAAAGAACTGCGAGTATGTTTTCCGAATTGACATGATTCACATTGCAAAGTGGACAACTTGGACAAACGTGGCACCATCTTCTGGAGCTTTGTAAGACTATGATGACCCAACTGAGCGTGAATAGTGAGTGGAGAATCTAATACAGAATGAGCATGAGAGGAGCTGGAGAGCAAGTAAAGGCCATTGGACTAAAATCCGCCGCCAATTGTCCTCCCCGAATTTCGATCCTGTAAAACAACAGAAGAGTTAGAAAAAGAAAACATGGATCCCACACACTTTTATATGTGTGTTGAAAATAAAATTATCTTCTACAACATGAGAAACACTAATCACATCAAGTTATCATGATATCAGAGCCAGTGCGATTAATCAATTGACACATGATCTGCCCTCTTCAATGTGTTAGTTGCAGTAGTTCTAAAATCCTTGATATAAAGAAAAATCTCTTTTGCTGGTAGTTTCATGACAGAGACACTATGCAGTCAAAACCTGGGAGAATAATGTTATGTTCTGATAATTCAAAAGTCAACATATTAATAATAATTAATATTTTGGTAACCATGGAATAATAGAAAGCAATTATAACTAACATATACTAATTGGAGTAATGTTATATTAGGCTCATGCATCATTTTCGCATAAGAAACTTGCTTTTGTCCCTTGTTTCATACTCACTCACTCTCACTATCTTAATATGTGAGATTGATCTGGTATTTGTTTGAATAAAGCAATTTTGATTTGCTATGTTGCAAATGAGCCTTTATTTTTCTGGATTGGTGCCTCATGTTACGTTTGTCAATGTCTTTTTAATACGATTCTAAGAACTATATATGCAAAGGGTTGAATGAACAAAAAACAAAAATCAGAAACAAAAGTTGAAGAGTTGAACAAGTGGCATTAATATGTGATGATATATAAAACTCCCAGCAAATATTATTAGACTTCAATGATAGAAAAAGAAAGATCAGCGCCAAAATACATATTAAACAGGAAACCAGTGAGGACTACACATTCTTTTACAGTGGCAATTGCATCACAATGATTACCACAAGAAAAAAAAATTTGTGGGATTGATTAGCCGAAAATGCTACCAACAACCAAATGCTATATCCTACAAGCTACATTTTACAAGTAATTACATTACATAGTGAGCAAAAATTTCAGTTCAAGTTAATTCTAGCTGGAAGGCATACTCCAGGAGCTTGCTCTTCCACAAAAATGCTTTCACAGTTAACTAGTTTTATGACATACTCAGCTGAAGGGTGGTACTTCTGTCTGGCCTCAGTGAAGCTTCTGCCAAGAACACATTCAACCCAATCTTGCACTGTTTTTTTCTCGTTTGATAACCAAGCAGCTGCAAGTACCTGTGCCATGACCTCATAATCAATTTCCAGCAGAAACTCTGATCCAAATGTCCTTTGAAATTGCATGTCAATGCTTTTTATTACTTGCTCAGCAAGATAATCAAAATTGAATGGCTTAAAAACCACCTTTTCATCTATTCGATCACAGAAATCACTTAACCAGGTTTCAGAATTTTCAACTGCGGATTCACTTCCATGATCATTGAAATTGTTGCCCTCTTCAACCTCCTCTAGAGGCATATTCAGATCCAGATAGGACCTTGTTGCCTCCCCAATCTGTTTCATTGTCTTGCATGTTGCTTTCTCTTTGGAATCACTGCTTTCAACTAGCTTTCTTTTATTCAGAAATGTTGGTTTTGAGGTCCCTTTTCTCCGAACAACCTTCACATTTGTGCTGCTGCTTCTTTTGGCACCCTCAGAAGCATGTCCTAGTGATAATTGCATTTGACATCTTTTAGCTTCAAGGATTCTTTCCTCAGGAAACATTTCAGGCTCCTTCTCAGAAACAAAAGAGCCATCACCTTTAAACACAGTCGAGGCTACAATAAAGATTGCATTGTTGATGCTGATTTCTCTTCCAAGTGAGTACGGAAATTTACCAGTTCTTATTGCTTGGAACAAACTACTCTGCACCAGAAAATCAGCTTTGTCAACATTTTCAAGAAACACAACTGAATGTGGCTTTTTACTCAACTCCCCAGCTATATAATCCACAACTGTCTTCCTCCTAAGCACATCATGACAATAAGAATTTTGGAATTCAATAATCGAGTTTAATTGGTAAAAACTGTCCTGGGAGCTCAAATCCACATTGATTAGGCTTTCTTTGTTTCCAAACAAAATCTCAGCAAGTGCTGAAGCAATTTTTCTCTTTCCAAGTCTATCTGGTCCAAGAAAAGCAAGCCATATATCTGCTCTAACATGTGAGCCATTGCGCCTTCCAGCACCAGATCTACAAAGGGACATAGTTATAGCATATATAGCCTCATTTTGCCACCCAACTTTTTCAGTGAGGATATGGTAAAGTGACTTGAAATCTGCCGTTTCAAATTTACCTTCCAAATTTGGACCAGAGAAGGAAGAAGATCTAGCAATATTGTGTGAAGTACTATCATTCACAGCATCAAAATCAGTTGAAAGGGAATCTGACAAGTGCTGAAGATGCTTCTTATGATCACTCAGTTTTGGGGTATCTGGCTCATGAGTAGCTGAAGTATATATAGTTCCCAATCCCAAATCTGTGGTCACAGTAATAAGGGATGAAGATAATCCGTGGTCAAGGCTCATATTGGTCTTAGGGGAAGGGGAAACCCAAGAACACTGCATGTCACTTTGCTGAGTTCTTGAAACTTTTTGTACATGATCAGCTTCATGGTTGGTACTAACAGTATCATAAGGTAATGAAAATGGTAATATCTGTTTAGATGAACATGCACTTTGTAACTCTTTAGACATGTAGGAAGTTTGATTAGAATATTGGATTTCATTAAGGGATGGACCTTTACTGCAACTTTCTTTAACACCTGAACCAAATCGAAACCCCTCAAGTGGTGGTGCTTGGAACCTTGTTTGGGAAATATCAAATTCAGATAATGATCGGTTTTGATGAACTTGTTGACAAATATCACTCCATTTCCTTTGCAATCCGAAGATCTTAGCATTTAAACTTGTGTTTTCTTCATTAGCCTGCACTGCATAATGGAGTTCATTCTTAAATAAATACAACCACAAATTGAATTAATGAAGTATGGCACGTGATGCAAAACATGATCATTGACAATAGTGCATCCATGAAATTCAGAGTGACAAAACAGACTAGAGAAACACTATTCACTATTTTGAATCCTTTCTTTCTTGATGGGAAAATGTGTTATTTTTTTACAAATTTAGGCAAGTAACATTATTTTACTGCGTACCTCTAAATTATTTTAGTGGGTCAGTACGGAAATTGCCCCCAAGATTTTGCATGTAAAAGTGTGTGAGCATGTCAATGTCTCTGCATGCATTGGACAAGGGAATATAAGATTAGGTGATCAAAACACACACCTTTGCCACATCCAATCCTTTATCTGTGTCCACATTAACCTTTTGTAACCAAGGCAAGCTTGCTGAGTAACTAGATGCCAAAGTAGCAGGACCTACCTTCTGAATATCAGCAACTTCTTGTTCATACTTTTCATTGCATGTGTCACAACGAGTTAAAGATGCATTTGTAGTACAGCTTACGGGATTTTTCAACTCAGAAGGTGTAGAAAAGAACCCACCAAATGGAACAAAGGACCCCATCAAGCTGCAAGTTTATCATGAAAAGAGAACTTTTAGACTTAAAAAGTATCATCAACAGAAATGAAATATCTCATACGCAATATATATATATAGGGTTCGCTTCTGTTAATGCAGATAAGTTATCTGCAGTAAGCCCAATACGACATCGTTTTGGGCAAAAATCATAGTGTTTTTGTAATTTTAATTTATTTCAGGGTTATTATAGTCTTTATAATTATAATTTTTTAATATTTTAATCACAAAACGATGTCGTTTTGAAAATAAATACAGATAACTTATCTACATTAATTGCAAATTTTTTTTTCTGATATATATATATATATATATGGCAAAATGATTTCTGCAGCTGCTGCACCTACAGCAAGCAAGGATCCGCGTCCGGATCCTAGGATACGACAACGGATCCTGAGTTTTTTTTTTTTTTTTTTTTAAAAGCCGTGGGGCCCACTTTTCTGTGTCAGTTGTAGATAACACTATCTACGGCTGCTGCAGAAATGTTAAGGCCTATATATATATATATAGAAGTGGATCCTCTCATGTGTTAATTAACATGACCATGTCATGTAGGACAATCATAACCATACATGAGTGGGTTAATGGTGATAAGGAAGGAGAGAGAAAAAATATAAAAATAGGAAGTTACACAATCATCACCGTTGATTTAATTATTAATGGTTAAGATCCTCCCACATGATATTATCATGTTAAATTACACATAAGAGGATCCATTCCCATATATATATATATATATATATATATATATATATATATATATCACAACAGGCAATTGAGTTTGATGGGCTCAAAATGGAGGTAAGAAAAAAAGGTCCTCTTAAGGTATCATCTATATATCAAAATTATATTTATAACCAAAAAGAGAAGAGTGACCCTGTGGGTCACAGGTGCAGAAAAAGAAGAACCATTTATCACAGTGTAAAAGACTGCCGTAGAAATTACATTTATGGCTCTTGAGACGACACAAACAGATCAAGAACTGTGTAGGCACATAAATTATATACATCTCTATAAATTCTTTACATGCCATGATATAGATTAAAGCAATGAAAACTTATTGGGGCCATTCCAAAGTGTCAGATTGCATGAATGGAATTGGCCTAAAGCCTGCAAAAGCAAAAAATTTTAAGAATTCAGAGTTACAATACAAGTTCCCAGCAAAACAATTTTATCATGAACTTCATTACAGTATGCTCTAAATTTAGTTAAAAAAAAAAGTTAACAGTTTTGGGAGGAATTTAATGCAAATAATATTTTTTCATTATTTTAAAAAGAAAAACTTCTTTCTATTTCCTCTGTAGCCAAACAACTTTAACAGTCAATAAAAGGAGGACAATGAAGATGGGAAAAGCAACTAACTTTAAAAGGCAAACCATTTGGAATTGGATCATAAAAATAAGTCAGGAAACAAGTGAAAGACTTCAACAAACACAAGCGAGTCAGAAACATTAAATATACCAGAGCTACATGTCAACTTTCTCTCAACAAATAACATGTTACACACACATCTAAACATATAACTGCCTTTTCACACACAAACATTATATATATATATATAGAGGATCCTTTGATACCAGTGTCAAATTTGAAATTTGACATCATCTGAGAGCTATTAGATCAAAAAAGATCAACGACTCTAATTTGTAAGCATGTGACACCATTGATCTTTTTTGATCTAACAGCTCTCAGATGAGTGTCAAACTTCAAATTTGACACCGGTGTCAAAGGATCTTACCTTTTATATATATATATATATATATATGTATGTATCTCAAAGTCCAAGACCAGACCACATGACAAAAGAGCACACACAAATATAGGTTCATTCCAAGTTACAAGTCTCGACCAACTAATCAACCAAGTCAAGACAAGTACAAACTGGAACCAATAACGTGAAAGGAGGAGAAATTAAAAGCACCTGGATTTAGAGTAGAGTCCTTCCATCGAAGGGGTAGCAGAAGTCATGGTCAGAAGATGCAGATCCCAATCCTTATCAACACTCGGAAACAAACCCAGGAACTTTGAATACGCCTCAGATGTTCCAGCCACTCCCACCAACCAAACCTTACCACCATGAACCCCCAACAACCTCGTCAACTCCGAAACAACCAATCCAACAGCATCAGCAGCATCATCATTATTATTCCCCCCAACAAGAACCTCAATCTCCCCGAAGCTCACAACAACACCAGCACCCGAACATTGCTCCACCAAACGACTCACCTCCTTAAACCTCAACCCCATCTTCTCCTCGTTGCTCTCACCACCTTCATTAACAAACCCAGAAATCTCATTCTCAATAGAAACCACATTCAACCCAGCGAGTTCACGATTCAACAGACTTCCCCCTCCACCCATTTTCACGCACTCAGTGAAGCTACGAAGAGCGGTTTTAGCATAAACACCAACCAGAAGCGGGTTCCGATTGTTCTTCCTACAAAGAACCTCCGCAATCCTTCTGCAATTCTCGTCGAACCCGGTGAAGGGGAAGGTCAAACCGGACCGGGCCGGTTCGAGGTTGCATAAAAAAACCGGAGGGGAGCGGTTAGGCCGAGAGAACATTCTAGAAGAAGCATGAACCGGTGGCGGCGGTTGAAGCAAAGCGAGCTTAATATCATAGCTTCGAAAACCGGCTTCCCCGAAGACCTTACTCACTATAGGGTCATCGAGAATCGAAAGCATGAAGTGCTTCAGCTCCACCTTCATCAACGACGTCGTTTGTTGCTGCTGTTGCATCATCTGAACCAAGTGGAAGCTTTCAGGGTGGCGACGCTGGTTCGCTTGGGAGCGCTTTATGGCGGCCATGAGGGAGTTTGACACCGGAGGACCGTCGTCATCGCCGCCGTCCGCGGCGGCGGATACGGCGGAGGTTCTTGACGTCGGCAGCCGGTCCAGGGAGACGCCGACGGAGAGCTCCAGGGCGCGGAACTGGAGGCGCGGCGAGTATGAGCAGCTTCGTGCACGCGCGCACGCGTCGCGTAGCGCGCCGGATGGCAGTGCTAGCAAGGCGGAGACGGCGTGGAGCGACGTTGTTTGCGCGTGGCTGCGCCGTCGCGCCACTGCTGTTGCGTCGTCTAATGCACGCGCCGCTTCCTGCGTCAGGCATTGCCTCGCTGCACTTACCGGCGTCGGCATCGCCGGGTAGCATATATTCAAATATATAAATAAATAATAATATATAAGAAATATAAATATAAATATATGTATCTATATCTATATATGGATATAGATATGGATGTAATAAATGTGGTGTTTGTTATGTTATATGTTTATGAGAAAGTGTGTGTGTATGTGTATGCGTTGGAGGTAGCAGTTTGGGTTTGAAGTGGAACTTTTTGCAGTGAGTTAATAAAGAAAAAATTTGAAAGCTTTGGCTTGAGTTGTTGAACCCCACAATTATTTATTCCAGTGGGTATGTCAGGACAAAAGAAAGTTGCAGTCTTTTGAGAGAGAGAGAGAGGAGGAGGAAGAGGAATTAGTAACATGTTGTTGGTGTCGGGGGTTGATGGTGTTTGATGATGATTTATTTTTTTTGGGTTAGTGTTAATGTGTTATGATGGTGGGGTTGATTTTTGGAGTGGGTCCCTACCTCATGTTTGGCCATGGTGGAAACACATGGTGGGTATAGATTCTATCTGGGAGGAGTGAAGAGTGAAGAGTTGAAAGGGTCTAATTATCTATCTGAGTAACTATTCTATCTGTTTATTTTTTATTTTTTTGTGAAAAAACATTAGTGCTTGTCTTTCATGGTGAGTGAGAGTGAGAGTGAGATGCCGTGCCCACTCAAAGCATATGGGGTTAAATGAGGGTCACTGTCAAGCTTTTGAGTCCAAATACGAACCTTTTTATTCTTCTTTCTTCTTCTTTTTTTCCCTTCATCTTTTGGCTTTTTATCTAGAGTTAAAAGTTATTTATAAGTTAAATTAAAAAAAAAAAGCTTAAAAAAATTAAAAACTATTTTGTAATTACATAAAAATTTTAAAAGTTACTTAAAATATATATTTTAAGAAAATTATCTTTTTCTCTATCTTTATAACTCTTCATTAAAAGAAAAAAAAACACACAAATCAAGAAAAATAAACAAGAGCTTACAAAAAAGCTCATTCTAAGAACTTTTAGTTTTCAATTTTTTTTCATTATACAAAAAGAATTTTTATTATAAAAGTTTTTCTAAAATCTGTTTGGTGAAATTTATACTTATAAATAGCTTCTAACTTAAAAAAAATCCAAACAATCACCTAACCTTGGAATAACTCATTCCATAATCGTTAAACATACGATGGTGCGATAGTAGGCATGCATTACAAGTTTAAAGTTTAGTTATATTAATTATGGGTTTTATTAATCTCATGGTGCATGAGATAATTATCTCATGCAACAAAGACAAAAGATAGTGAGGTCCACTACTTTTTCGAAAAAAGAAAACAAATAGTGGACCTCACTATTTTGTCTCTGTTGCATGAGATAATTATTTCCCATTAATTATTTTAGGTTAAGTTGCAAGAAAGAACGAGGATATTGTAACTATAAAAAATTCTTACTAGTAGCTTACTACCCATTACATCACCATTGGATCAAAGAGAGAGAATGTTAAAAAGTTTTTTAAGAGAGAAAAAATGTTAATCTAATAATGATTTGATAAGTAGTAAATTGGTAGTGGAAAATTTTGGTAGTGAGAATATTCCTTCTCTTCAAGAAAATAAAAGTTTTTTAAAATCATTCTATTTTATACTTATTATATAAAAGTTGTTTCACTACCTTCGTGTGACAGAAACTCTAGGCTTGTTTGAATTGTATTTCAAGAAACAGATTTTTGATTTTTAGAAAAATAATAAAATATATTTGATAAATTCTGTTTTGTAAAAATAATTCTAAAAATTATAATTATTTTTTAGTTTTTAAAATCAAACTTAGAGTATCATGTCTAAGGCGGGTGTATTGGATTAAGATTTTAAAAGATTTTTTTGAGATAAACAATCTTATAAATTTTAAAGAGAAATGATATTGTAACAACCAATTAGTGTTATTACCAATGTTACTACCAATCAATTTCACCGTTAGATCGATTATGTTGATCCAACGGTTATATTTATTTCCATCATTGTATGATTATGATTTCCCATATTTAATACTTTATATTTATTTTCACCTTTGTATGGTTATGATTTTCCATATTTAAAGCTTTCACATTAAATATGGGGAATCATAACCTATGTAGCACCGATACGACACGCGACACGTGACACGACACGACACGACACTCCGACACGTCAATCCTAAAAAATTATGGACTTCGACACGTTGGGACACGTTTTAATATTAAATAATATTTTTAATTTATATAGTGTATATTTCATTTAATATTTAATAATTTAACAAAAAAAGAAACTAAATTAATAATACCCATCAACACGTTATAAAGATGGAAGCTTTAATAAAAAAATAAGAACTAGGATGAGAGAAAGAGATATAATATCAGATAGAGAGATCAAATCATATTAGAGAGAGATTAGAGAGAAGAAGATACAACAAGAGCGTGATAGGAATCAACAACAATAATGCTGAGATGATCTCTTATTTACTTAAGGGGAAAAAAGACAAAAAGATAAAATTAATATGATCAGGTGAAAGCTTTATTAATATATTTTAACTTTTAAAAAAAAAAATTTAAAAATTTTAAAAAAATTACGAAAATGCCATTTGACCGTGTCGGACACGGTCAAATTCGCGTGTCGGAATGGTCAACGTGTCGGAAAAAGTCAACCGCGTGTCCGACACCGTGTCGAAGCGTGTCGGAGCGTGTCGCCGTGTCGGAGCGTGTCGGACCCGACTCTTCCTATTTTTACAAGTGTCCGTGCTTCCTTGATCATAACCATACAAAGTTGGAAATAAATATAATCGTTGGATCAACATAATCGATCTTACGGTGAAATTGATTGGTAGTAACATTGGTAGTAACACTAATTGATTATTACAATATCCTACCCCAATTTTAAAAGACTATTTAGAATTGGAGGGAATTTAAAAGTATTTTTACAATCAAGATTTCATAAGATTGGATTTTAAAGGATTTATTAGAATTTATAAGATTTGAAAGGACAATATGGATTTATAAGATTTTAAAAAATCATATGAATTTTTAACAAACATTCAAAATTACAAGAGTCAATAAAAAAGGGAAATGTTATACTTACAACCTATTTTTGTTTACAACATTTTACAATCATATCTTAACCGTTGATTTTCGTCAATCAACGGTGTTATCATTCATTGCAAATTAAATATTAATTAATGAGTTTGATATGCGAAAATAATAACCGTTGATTGACAAAAATCAACGGTTAAGATATGATTGTAAAATGTTGTAAACAAAAATAGGTTGTAAGTATAACCTTCCCTATAAAAAACATAACAAAGAAATGCAATGAAATTAATAAAAAAAAGTAAAACCTAATATAATTTTCTCAATCAGTAAAACATAATATAATTTTTAACAAACATTCAAAATTAATAAACAACGGCTTTTCACATATCTAAAGTTATACTAGTCCTCCATGCATTAACATTTTCTCGTTCCTGCTATTGGGTTTGACCAATGGGTTGAAAATTTTCTTCTTCATTTGGTACAAAACTATGCATATATGATTATAAGACCTAATTTTTTAATTATTAAAATAATTCTAAATTTGCATATAGAACCTAAAGTTCATAATAAAATATCGTTTGGAATTTTATGCAATTGATCTTGAAAACATTAGGATTTTTATTCTACGTGATGAGAGTTTTCTAATCATATATCATATGCATATTTTCATTGAATATTCTAAGAAAATTTCGAATCTTGATTTTTGGGTTTTGTTACATGAAAGTTTAGAAAATTTCTTAAATTTTTTTCAATCGATACATTGAAACCTTAAATTGCTTTAGGGCTTTTGAAAAATAAGTTTTTAGTTATCTATTGACACAAAAATTATTTGAAATCATTTCCTATATTGAAGGAATTTCGTTCATGAATGTATTGTTACAAAATATAGAGTTCATATTATGAAAGTTTCAATCTTTCTTTAAATTGATATATCATTGATGTAAAACGAAAATTGGTTTGACGGTTTTAGTTCCCTTGTTATTTTTCCACTGATTTATGTTGTTTTTAATACAAAAATCACACATTTTTGTGCCAAGAAAATTCGTGACCCATAGCTTGAAAATTCACTTTTTAAAGTTCCAAAATTTCTCAAAAATGGCTCATTGTTGTTTTTGAGATAGATTATATTAAAATCTCGTTGGTTTGTTATTTCTAGGTTGTTTTGTGATGAAAATTTCTTAAAAATATGCTTTTTGAGTTTTGACAAAGCTCCCAAGGCGGAACCCGATTTCGAGCAGGTCAACTTGCCAAAGGAAGAAGAAAATACTGTAATAGTAAAATCTCAAGAAATCTTAGGGGTTAGGATGAGATTGTGAGAGAGGCATCCTATCTATATTTCTTACTAAAAAGTCTCACGAAATCCACATCAATAAAAAATCCATTAAAATCGTTAGATTTTTGAATAACACAAGATTTTTTTTCCATTATTTAAAATCTTGATTAAATACCAACGGATTTGGACGGACTCTAAAATAATATTTTAAAATCCTAATCGAATACCACGTGATTTTTTTTCAATCCATTAAAATTCTAATCGAATACAAATGGATTTTTTTGTCCAAAAATAATCCACCCCCATTATTTATTTATTTATTGTGTTTTGACTTTTAACTTTAAAAACACAAAAAATACAAAAAACACATATTTCATTAACTATTCTATAAAATAGTTTTAAGATGAAGAAAAAAACAGAACACAATCCAACAAGCCCTCTATTACTTTGTTCGTGTTGACATCTTTTTCCAGTTTCCATGTAGTGGCTGTATTGCGACAAATTGGTTTCATGTCAAGAACTCTTAAATGTTATTTTTACTCTTTAATTGTAATCTGAACAACTTATATTATTTTCCCTATTTTAATTTTAATTACTTATCCTTTAGCTTTTTAAATTTTTTCCTCTTTTCCATACTTTAGTTTTTTTTAATTTATTTATAAATTTTTAAAATATTAATACTCTTTCTAAATAAAAATTTAATCTTGATTCAACTGTTCTTATAGATTCCATGGAGATTATAAAGAATATAGGGATAGAAACAGATATCAAAGTCTTGAATTGAAAGAGAAGGATTGTGCTAGTAGTCCCTATGTACTTTTAAATCCTGGAACCTCCAATATTTTTTAATGAACTGCTTAGTTTGGAATTATAGGGGTATGGCTAAAAAGCCTTTGAAAACTACCTCGTGAAATTTCAAAAAAAAAAATAGAAGGTTGGGTTGGCTTGTAATAGCCCGTTGTACATCGGTATTGTTAACACTAATTATGATATTAAGCGCAGTTACAATCACAACAATTCATTTATAAAAATGCGAGTAAATTTTTTTCGTTTATTACGCGAGCATTTAAAACAAT